CTCCAGAGCTTTAACACAGGACAAGAGAACAGAACATCACAAACAGGCAAGTTTTGAACGGGCTTTGCACTATCAAATAATCAATATCAATAACAATCCGCTTTGGAAAAACAGCATAAACCACTGTCCCTGTTACTGCAGTACATTTTACCAAAAGCAAAATGCTCCTGCGCTGTATTCTGATGGCTCAAACGAGTCTCAGTGGAGGACAGTTCAAACCAAAGACCACCAAAACTTGTAGAAATTAGAAATGTTGTTTGTGATGATTTGGGTGAACCGAGTATTCAATGTTTCAGTATCGACACAAACTGCTGCATGCTTCAAGAGATATGAATACAGAGTCAACCTTGAAAAACAGACACTTTCTAAACATGAATGAGAAACAATGTCACCCTCCTTCCTCCCCTCGTCATCTCTCAAAAGGAACCGCTCTATCCTTCCCTCCTCTCTGCACTCATATTCATCGTCAACAAGTGAGTGTGTGTGTAATGCTGTACAAGTGTGTATCCATCATTACCTATCAATAGAATGACCGTCACACTCTGCTCTTCTCAAAGCAAACCACTGGTCTGCCTCTGGGCAAAAAACACAGGACTGCCCTCCAATCTCTCTCTCCCCCTCTCTCTCTCACACATGCAATGTGCAATCCAAAAATTGCTGAAACATGCTGTCACAGCAAATAGACCGTCAGGGAGTGCAGCAAACAACATGGGAGAGAGATGAGACCACTCACATTAACGCAACAACAGATACTACAGTTTAACAACAATCCTGTTCGTACACCATACCTAATGGCACAAAACTAACAAATTAAAAAATGTCAACATAACTGACATTACTATCAGTATCTGACATTAGTAAACTAAAGTATCAACAGGGATGATGTTTCAATAAGTGCTGTATTTAATAAATGAGTTGTGACGATGTACAATAGTCGCAGTGTGTGTTTGTGTGTGCACACATGCATGTCTATCTAGTTGTGAGGGCCTATTTTGGAGCAATAACATCATTGTGTGGATATTTTGAAGCTGTGAGGACATTTTTGCTGGTCCTCACAAATTCAAAGGGCTGATTGAGGGGTAAGACCTGGTTTTAGGGTTAGGGCTAGGTTTAGGTTAGGGAAGGGAAAAAGGCTAATTCATGCTTCTGAGTTGTAGCTATACGCTTTAGCCTGACATGCACCTCCCCAAAAATGTAACTATGTGTCGAGGCGATGCATACCGCAAGAGCTGTGATTGGTCGGTTGGCAGCATCGCATTTTTGGCCGATTGTTGAAGGAACGAGCACAGACAACGTCTTTCTTTTCTTTGTTGCAGCTCTTAAAGAAGTGAAGCAATTGCTTTTCATCATCTATCAGCTCCAACTTCAAGAAGATCCGCTTAAAGGGATAGTTCACAGAAAAATTAAAATTCAGTCATTATCTACTCACCACTATGCCGATGAAGGGGTGTCTGAAGTGTTCGAGTCCACAAAATAATTTTGGAGTCTCATGGGTGAACAGTGTTGCAGCCAAATCCATAACAATTGTAGTAACTGGTGAATCCTTCTTCAGGTATAATACAACAACAGCAAAAAAACACAACAAGCCTCCATACTGCTAGTGTGGTGTCATCCAAGTGTCAGGAAGCCCCGACATTCAAATTAAATGTACACATCATCACAATTACGGCATCATATACACTGTGTTTTGAGTCCACAACCAGAAGTGGCAATGGTAGCAGATGTATCACCCCACGCACGCCCTTGGGCAAGATCTTGTGTGCAATGTTTACAGTGTGTGCATGCAAACACAGCTCCGAGGAGGAAATCAGATGACATTTAGGCTTAAAACATGGTTAAGGCATTAAGATGTGATGGTTAGGTTGAGGATAAGGAGCTGGGGACTGCATTACGTCAATGAGTGTCCTCACTAAGATAGATGTGTGCATGCACGTGTGTGCTTGTGTGTGCAGCATTCTCATTCTACTTCCTGCAGGCATAGCTGGCATGCCAACAGTTCATGATGACAAAAAGGTGGCTCAGGAGGAAGAGCAGGTCACTGGTTCGATCCCAGATACCTTGGCCAAGATACTGGACCCCACATATATAAATACAGACTACAGGGAACACCCACAGACACCAAAAAGCCAGTCTGTAAAAGAAACCTACGCAAATAAAGAAGTCCACACATCAACCAGACAAAGCATCCTACCGACAGAGACAGAATGTGATAGGTAGCTACACCACGCACCTGCCCTGAAATATGAGTCTGTGAGGGTGGAGGTGACTCAACTGAGCACCTCCGGCTGCAGCAGGGGATGATTAGCAAAGGAGTCCAGATAGCTCATCACTCCCCTGTTCAAATGTGCCAGAGCTGCCACAGGGAGACAGAGACCGAGGAGAGCGACTGAAATGTAGATCCATGAAGATCACATCAGAGACAGGAGAACCGTGCACCAGAGCAGCCAGGTAGCAAGGTGCACGGTGGTGCGGAATTCTTGCGTTTACTGCGTGTAGCAATGTAATAGGTGTTATCAAAGCTTTGTGTCCTGTGTGCATTGTGCTGAGTTAACAAAACAGTGGAAACCATTGATGTCATTAAAGGTACAGTGTGTAGAATTTAGTGATATCTAGTGTTGAAGTTGCATGTTGCAGCTGAACACCCCTCACCTCACCCTCTCCTTCCAAACATGAAAAAGAACCTGTGGTAGCTTCAGTTGTCATAAAAACTCAAAAGGTGTTTAGTTTGTTCAGTCTGGACTAATGTAAAAAACATGGTGGCCTCCGTAGAGAGGGTCTCCTCAATGTAAATATAAAGTATTTAAATATAAAGGACCTTTTCTGGGGTAAAGAAAACTACAATTCATACAATTTAGATGAAATGAACTAATGAAAAGATCATGAGAATTATTCTACATTAAATTGTAGTGTTCTTTACCCTACATACTGTACCTTTAAGTCAAAAGAGTGGGAGATTTACAGTTTGAAGGGTTTAAGGCTAATGATAACTTTGGCCTATTTGTGGCTAAAATATCAAAGTGGCAAACATGTCAGTAGGCAATGTGTAGGGGGAAGAGAGATGCCAGAAAGATGGCAAAGATGACTAAAGATTCATCCAGAGGGAAGGTGCATGTGCATGTTCAGCTTCGAGATTTGCATTGGAGGAGGTAAGAGCAGCGATGTGGTCAGAAGCACACCGTAAACAGTGGCCAGAATGGCAGAGAAAAGAAAAGAAAAAGAACCACAGGACTGCCGTTTGTCAGTCAGACTGACCATCAGCAGCACTGGTAGTCATCAGCAGGCAGTATTCAGCATAGAACAAGCATACAGTTCTCTCCACACCTATCTGATCAGCTTCAGAATTGAATTACCTGGAGATGCCCTCCTAGGCAATAATCAAACCAAGTTTGCTGAGAATCGATTGTTGAGATACACACACACGTTTTATCAGTAAGTTAACATATTACTGATAAGCTATCTGTTTTCCTAAGTCTGAGTTAAAGCAACATATGCAACTTTTTTTTACCTTAAAATAACAACTTCAATATCATTTGTACTCTTCTCCAACCATCAGGTCTTTTTTATAGATCAAATTCGTCATACTCATCGATAGTTTCAATCTGTCCATTCATTTATTGAAAACAATTTTACTCGACAGAGTCATGATCTCAGAGGATTCATAGTAATTTTTTCAGGAACTTGCTACAGATCCACCTTTGGTGACTGATCAGCCAAAATAGTGAGGTCCGCACTATCAAGATGGTTTGATTTTGGTCAGCTGCCTTAATTCACACATAAAAGTTTCACCAGAGTAAAGACCCAATGACTATAGCTACAGAACTTCAAACCAGATGGTGGCGGTTTGATCCCAGTCTCCCTAATTCAACGTGCCAAGTAGGCAAGAACCCCAAAATTGCCCCTAAAGGTTGTGCTTGGAGTGTGTGATTGGTGAGTGGTAAGTACTGCCAACAGATACAGTGTATGAATGTGTGTGTGAAAAGTGTAGTGCTTTGAGTGGTCATCAAGTCTGAAAAAATATAAATATCGACCATCTACCATTTATCACATGTAGAAGGTGACAAGTGAGCTTTAGAGGAGTAATTGGTAGCTTTTGTAAAATCCTGGACAATATGATCCATGAATAAGCTTCAACAGACACCACAAACCACACATGAGACCCAACAGTTCATTGGATCCTCTACCTCCCTTTTGCTGAGGGAAAGGTTCTTTAATATGCAGAGCTGTTGTTTGATAGCTGTAGGTTAAATTCTAGCTGTGTCTACATACCTGTATGAAGAAATATGCATGAGTGCTCTCCTTCTATTAAAACTGTTTGCCCTGCGTGTTGTTAGTTTATATTTAATTGACTCCATTTTACAGATTAAACCTGCATGTGTTATTTACTGACCACGGTTAATCTTTAATCGTCACTGACAGATGGCTGGTACTCAGTGGAGTCTTCTGGAGCTGCTGAAGCTCAGACATGCACTGGACTCCAGAGATAGAGTGTGGTGATAAGAGCTGATGCCAGTGTTGACTAACAAAAACACCTGATCTCCATAGCATCCTGCCTCTGCCTGCTGCACCAGCCCTCACCAGAACACTCCGGAGGATTTGTTGCTTTTGTGACGGCGTCTGTGCGGATAATCTGCCGCTGCGTTCTTCATGTGTGAAAGGAAAACGCTGGAGAAAGTCTTTCATGTCATGTCTGACAACGTCTGCTGAGGGTTAAGGGCAGAGGAAGTCGCACCTTGTTAAAGCCCTATGAGACAAATTGTGATTTGTGAATATGGGTTCTACAAATAAAATTTGATTTGATTTGACAAGGGCTTATGAGTCCAAAGAGCTCTCGCTCCACTTACAACAAAGCCCTGTTTCTGAATAGGCACTGAACCAAGTTTTACAATCCTGCTGGATACAAGGTGTGGGATCTTGACTGCCCATAAGCACATAACATTAGGGGTCCCGCTGTGAAGGGAGAGCTAGAAAGGGAGTAGTGAAAGCAGAGCAGGTTTACTCACTGTCTTCTCCGGGACAGGACATGCCAGGCTGCTCCGGGATACTGGGGAAAACTGCCAAAGATACACAATCAGAGAAAACACATTTCAAGGTGCTGTTTTACTTTCCCAAAGAGAAGTGTGAGGAAAAAAACCCCACAGGTCATGACAATGAAAATCCTGCAGGCCTGAAATGTCCCTTGAATAGAATTAAAGTAATACGTTTTAAATGTAGAAACACATTAGCAACGATCATGACTAATATACAGCTTTAGATACACAATAAACAGCTTGATACATTAATATCCTCAACAAAGGTTTAACAAAATGTCGAGCCATCTCCACACTCATTACAGTTATTGAAAAATACACACTCGATTCAAGCCATTAATAAAGTGTTTAAAATGATTCTTGTTCTGTTAGAATAGGACCTAGCTCACCGTGCAGCAGCAGTCCAGACTTCTTGGTTCGATGGTAAATTCGAAACGCTTCCTCCAGCTCCATCTGAGATGAGATGGTGCAAGGGTCCCCTGAGCAAACAGACAAACACAAACACGTTCTTATCAATATAATCACCTGATTACAGCTACAATGATTAGTTGATGTAACAGTGATGTTCAATGTTCATTTAAAAGTATGATCTTTATATTGTATTTATACTGTTATATTTATAGTAATTGAATAATTAATTCCAACAAGTGGAGTTTATGTTTCATCTGGATTTGTTTGTTTGTAAATTAGCAGGATTAGGCAAAAACTACTCAACCAATTTCCTTGAAACTTTACTGAGGGGTGGAGCATGACCCAAGGAACAACCCATTAAATCCAGGAACTTTTTTTCACTTTCTTTAAAAGTGTGAGATAAGGTACTATTTAAATGTGATTTCATCAGAGGTGAAGGCTTTTTTCAGCTGTTGGTGTTATCTGATGTTATATGGGCCACATAAATTGCAAACCAGTATGGCTGTTTGCCTTAAAATTAAATTAAGTCCTTCCTTTATGCTAAGTGATACATGATCATTTCAGATATCTCTGACCCCGGAACCTCAGGACAACAACTTTTACTATGATTACTATTACTAATTACAATATCTCAGTAATTCATTATGATATGAATTGTGTCTGTTATCAATAATAATTAAATGTCTTTACACTGTTGTTTACATTTGTTTACATTTTAACTAGTCAGATCTAATACCTGATGGTGCTCAAGTGTTCCCGGTCTTTTATCGCTCCCCTACTTCCCCCTCCCCACTATCMCKCTCTCTTCTCTCCCCTCTTTTCCACCCATCTCTCCTCTCCTCCCCCCTTTTTCTTTGCTCACCCCAACCGGTCGAAGCAGATGACCGCCCACATTGAGCCTGGTTCTTCTAGAGGTTTCTCTCTGTTAATGAGGGAGTTTTTCCTCCACAGTCACCAAAGTGCTGCTCATTGTGGGAACTGTTGGGTTTCTCTATATTAATACGATTTTAAGGTCTTGACCTTCTATATAAAGTGCCTTGAGATAATGTATATTATGATTTGGCGCTATACAAATAAAATTGAATTTAATTGAATTACTGCTCCCCTCATTTCTGTCAGACTTTTTATTTTGTATAAATACTTTTATTGATAAACCTCTCCATCTCAGACAATGTCTCTTCTTATGAATGTTGAATATATTGTCAATTTGTTGATGTGATCTGTTACGTGTAGCATCTATTTCACTTCTGTCCGTCCTGGGAGAGACGTCCCTCATGTGACTCTTGAGGTTTCAACAGTTTATTTTCCAATTAAAAGTAGTTGTTTTTCAAAGTAGTTTCTCTCACTCTTTTTGTGACTTATGAGACAAATTGTGATTTGTGAATATGAGCAATACCATTACAATTTGATTGATTGACTTACATATATCTGACTAAAATGAGAAAATACATTTTGCAACAAAACCCCCCAAACAAACAAAACACTTCCTCTGTGACAGCTCTTGCTGCCATGTATTAGAGCTTGGAAGCAGAAAGTATAGTGGACAGATGGAAATGAGCATTTCAATTCACACCAGTGGCTTCAGACTGACCACCGTGCTGTATTTCTTTAGCCAGAGTTCAGCAGTGGTAGGAAAACACACAGAAGGTACCCTGAGGACGAGACAGAATGACGCACAGAATATTAATATGAGGCATACCCACCTTCATCATCGATCCACTTGAGTGTGATGGGCTGCTGCTTGGCAACACTGCATATCGTTCTCACCTCCTCACACAACTCCACAAAGGTTACAGTGGGAGCCAGGTCTGTGATCAACATATTACTGAAAGCAAACACAGAGAAAATGTCAAGATTGAGTCATTTTGTCTAAATTGAGCAGAGATCAAGAAATCCCCCTCTTCAGTGAGTCAACAACAATGTGAAAAACACAGTCACTATTAGTGGTGGAACAATTCTCCAAATCCATTGGTTTTGGACAGCAAAAAATATTTCCACACGGCTGACTTCAATGTGCCTTAGGGGGGCATTAAAATAGTCTAACACCTTGTCCACACTAATGTGGATATTTTGCAAAACAACCTTTTCCCCCTGAGGCTGCTCATCCTTATGCAAATGGTGTTTAATGGCATTAAAAAAATGCTTCTAAACACCTTCCAAAGCGAAGATTCTCAAAAATGTGAAACAGAGCATTTGAGAAATGATGACCACAGCTTACTTCACAAATACCCACGGTTACTTTGTTTAATAAGCATTCAATACATTATTATGAAGCTAAATGTATCATTTAGATACCACATTACCAGCATTCACTGGTCTGCCGTGCCCAATATTACTTGGATCATAGTGTTCTTGTCTGATATTTGACGGATCGCTGATGTAGACTTTATTTTAACCTACTGACCCGACATGCTTGTTCTCATCTTGAATGAGATATTTTGTAAAACGAAGGTGTCGTGTGGACAGAGTTTTTTTTTTTTTAATGGAGGACAATATCCATTCAAATAATATCAACAGTAGAGAAGACAAGACCAAACTTTTACTACGGATGTGATGACTTGATTCGACCAAAATAGTTTGAAGACAATCAAATGGGTGTGACGTGTAATACTTTTTACTTACTCACTATACATCAAGCCCTGACTTTTTCTGATTTACATGTTGATTGTGAAATGAAAAATTATTTTGGTATATCATGATTTCGTTCAATAGTGATTTCTGTCTCTGTTTCATTACACCTCACCTTACTCACAATTACTGAATGCAGGTAAACTTCCTCTACAGTCTTGCACCGTGGTTACAGATGAGGAGGCCTACTCTTCAAATAGTTTGGTGAGTTCAGCTGGTTTGACAGAGTACAGCAGTATAGCCCTTTGACTAAGAAGAATGTGAATTACTGGACCTGTCTACTGTGCAGCAGGTCAGTCTCACCTGCTCATTGGTTTAAACACTGATGTTAACAGGCACAGTTTGAATAGATTATGCAGCATTTAAATCCAGGCACACTTCTGATTTTGCACCTGATGATCAGTCACTACCATAGACTGTATATAAGGTCACTACTCTGACAAAACAATGGAGTTTATACCATCTGTGGATGGAAACAGTGGAAAGTGGTTCAAAGCACTGAAAGAGAGGCTTTGAGAATTCTAGAAACACTTCCACACCAATTTGAAAATTATCCACATTTTTTTGCAAAGATCACCTGATAACAATATTGCACAAGACACAAACTGGGGCATTATCAGTGACAACGTAACAAGACAGAAAGAGGTAGTAGTCATAGCAATAGAAAAACGAATTACTCATATCTACAGTTGTATACAGTATTATACAATCCCTGAGTTTCTGTACCGAGAGTGAATCAATACTTTTTCATATTTTATGCAAACTTAAAGGTCCAGTGTGTAAGATTTAGGTGAAATTGAATATAAAATAATCCTAGTGATGTTTTCACTGTTTTGGTACATCTAAATTATATGAATTGCAGTTGTCTTTACCCTAGAATGGGGCCTTTATATTTAAAAACATTATAGTTACATGGAGGGGGGGTCCACTAACTGTCGTCCAAACTGGACAAACTAAAACCTTTTGAAGCACAGACTGAGCTGATTATCAAAATAAATTACTAACAAGATGATTTTAAAACCAGTGGCCATTACTTATTTATTTCTCATCTCTCTGTTGTTGAACATGAAAAGCTGAACATGAAACAGAAGTGGCTGAATTTCTTGTCAGTGCCAATGGCCTTCAATTACTCTTATCAGCTAGATGATTTTAAAGAAGGGTGTGCACGTTGAGTTTAAACATCAACTATCATTGCCCCGCTGCTGCCTGACTACAATGCTGTGGACAACAGTAATCGAAACAGGCCAAACACACCCCCAGGTGATATGCTGTATCATAACCTATGTTTTTAACCGTATGAGTGCTGGAGCTGCCAAATAAATACAATACGTGTGTGTGTGTGTGTGTGTGTGTGTGTGTGTGTGTGTGTGTGTGTGTG